TTTTTGATTTTTTTTTCTTTTTTTGTTGTTTTTCTCTGTCTCGTTTTCTTTTTTCTTGTCTCTTCACTCTCCAATATCCTTTCAGTGTGTTTTTAGACAGATCTAAGATCACTGTAGCTAAACATTCAAATACTAATAGGGTTGAAATATTCCCCACTATCTTCTGAATCTGCTGCACCAGCAAGCACAATAGAACAGCAAAGAGATTCTGGATCACCTCTGTCTGCTTGCTCCTTAACATTAAGGCTGAACCTCCAGAATTTGAAAGAAAACACAACATTCATCAGATGACAAGAAATCACCGCCGGATCACGAGAAACATGGGAAAACAAGAAAATACCTCTCCTCCTAGGGAAAAGAGTAACTCTTCATCCACAAGCAGTTCGGTGAAAATCATGGAAATGTCTGATAAGGAATTCAGATCATTCATAATGTCTAAGCTAACAGAGATGGAAGAGAAGAGAGATAATGAACTACTAAAGAGAAAGGAGAAAGAGATTGACGAGTTCCAAGAGATGAGGAAATTCCTGCAAGATCTAAAAGTGGAATTACACACTTTACAAAAGACTCAAACCGAACTGCTAGAGATGAAGTCTATAATACAAGAAGTCAAAATCTCCCTGGAAAGCATTAAAAGCAGACTAGATCATTCAGAAAATAGAATCTCAGATGTAGAGGAGAAAATGGCTGGCCTAGAAAAATCCACCATGAAGGCTGAGAAAATGGCACAAAAATTTGAGAATAATATGCGAGAAGTACTGGATACCATCAAACGTCCAAATATCCGGATAATTGGCATTCCAGAAGGTGAGGAAACCCATAAGGGCATTGATAATCTATTCCAGGAAATCCTGCAAGAAAACTTTCCAAACCTAGAGAGGCATTCAAAGATCCAGTCCCAGGAAATACAACGGACCCCAAATAGAATCAACCCTAGAAGATCTTCTCCAAGACACATTATAGCCAGGTTGACCAAAACTGCAGACAAAGACAAGATACTAAGATTAGCAAGAGAAAAACATCAAGTTACCTACAAAGGACATCCCATCAGGCTAACAGCAGATCTCTCATCAGAAACAATAAAAGCGAGGAGAGAATGGGAAAATATATTCCAAGTGTTAAGAGAGAAGCAGTTTCAGCCAAGAATACTGTATCCGGCAAGATTATCTTTCAGGTGGGAAGAAAAGACAAGAACATTCTCAGATAAACAAAACCTGAAAGAATTTACCAGCACCAGACCAGACCTCCAAGAAGTTCTCAAGGATGTGCTGTATCAGGAAAACTAAACGCAGATACATGGAAATAAGAGTCCAAAAACTGAGAAAGTAGCTAACTTAATCATAGGGACAAGTCTGGAGTTGAATACTATATCCCAGAATTTAATCAGGAAAATTGAACCAGAACAGAAGATAAAAGTATATGAGACTGATAGGTTCATGCACCTACCATTTGAACAGAATCCTAACCTGTTTCCGGGCTTTAAGCAAAGTTCCTTGGCGGTTCTTTGATTTAAGTTAAAACTGGTTTTCTTAGTAGTAACGAGGGAACTCACCTTTGAAAGTAGTCAGGTTATGTAGGAAATTGTGTGATCAATGCAATGTGGGTGGGAAGGGAATGGAGGACAATTTTGGACACTAGAGGTGGTGTGAGAGGAGGGTGGGAAGGGACAGAGGGTCAGAAAGAGGGGTGGAAATAATTCTAGCAACTAGAATTGGAAATTTATTTTTTTTGTAATGTGCATGATTGAGTCACTATGCAGTGTGTACTGGATGGGAGATCGCATTTTGTGTGCTGTGATGATGCCTAGGGAAGGAATGCAAATTGAGTTACAAAAAAAAGTTTCAGGAAAACAAAATGTATCTATTCAATGACTGCAGTAGGATATGTAGCCCCAGTTAGGTGCTAATTTATAGGATGCGTAAAGTTAGACTTGTGCTCATGGAAATGTGTGTGTCACATGTGTTTGCTAGGAGGGTATTTGGATTGATGAGGGTCTTTGGTGATTCAATAAAATGTTGGGGGGAAAATGGTATAGAAATAGATAACAGAGACAGTGTGGGAGGAGAACAGGAGGTGGCAGAGGGTAAGAGAGAGGGAACCAAGGATGGGGGAGAAAAAGCAAAACATACAGAAAACAAGAAATGGAAGATCATTTGCTAATAATAACATGTTTGTTGATGTGCTTGATTGAGACAATATACAGTGTACTCTGGATGGAAGATCTCATTTTGTATGCTGTAATGATGTACAGTGAATGAATGCAAATAAATTGGAAAAAAAATAATAATAAAAAAAAAAAGAAAAAAAAAAAACAATTTAAATGTGATCATATCCCTTTAATCAGCACACTGATTCATCATTACAAGTGACCCAATACAAAATACAGTATAAGAGAAACCTGGAAATGTTCTAGGGTGAAGCAAATGAGATAGATCATTTCATAGACAAACCACATATGGAATTTATGAACACTGTCAATTTCAAATATGTTTGTTTGTCTTAGGGTATTCTAGTAATGATGACCAAAGCTTACCTTTTTGGACTCAGTTAGTATAAGCTCCTCTACTTCCTTCGTTAAGACTTCATCTGGCAAAGTCCTCAGCTTCGCAGAAAGGAATTTAATCGCTCGTTCTCTAACAATGTCCTCGCCTTGAAGTATCTGGCTGAACAAGCCACCCAAAGTCCCTGCAGAGCAATAATGGTTGTCCATAGCAAGTCAGTTCTATAGTGTAGTGAACTTTTTCAAATGAACTCAGGTTATAGTATATGTTCTCTCTTTAAAAAAAAAATAAAATTTGCAGGAGGACACATGCGCCCCTACCAGAAAGAAACAGCGAAAACAGCCCTCCCACCATATTGAATCCTGTCTCCATTTCTTCTTTCAGGGTTTATGGGCGGACACATGTCCGGTATGTCTTTTAGGATATCAGGTCCAGGATTTGATCTGCAGTTGGCCCCACAGTATTTTTATTTATTTACTTATTTATATTTTTAGAAAGATTTGTTTGCTACAGGGCACATGCACTTGTTGGAAAGAGAGAGAAAAATCACCACCCCACCCCCTAGGGGGGTGGCCACGCCACAGTTGCTTCTCCATTCTCCTCTTGGGATCTTGGTCATGCAGACACACGCACGTGCACCTGGCATGAGATTTAAGCCACCGTGTCTGGGACTTGAACCACAGTCAACTATGTGGGAGTCCAGTGACATAACCGTTATGCTACCTGCTGGTCCAGTCCCCATGGTATTTCTTCTCGAAGGAAATAAAAGTCCTAAACACCAGCAATAATGGTTGAAGTAAATTTGAAATTTCTAAGTTTCATAATAAACCAAACCGTAAGAGCACACAAATGCTTTTCCCAGATAGTTAAACATGACTTTCCTTTCTTATGATAGCGTTTATTAATAATAAGGCGCAGGTAGTTAAAAAAAGAGTCTTAAAATGGCAAAGGGACTTTTAACAGAAAAGGTTGATTCAATTTTATAATTATTTTTACTAGTTTTTCCTCATCAAATCATCTGGAGACTTTTTCCAGAACACCTGGAATTTTTATGAGATAAGATCTCTGGGTGATCCCCGAATTTTATCCTTCATGCATACTGCCAAGATCCTTGTTTTGTTTTTAGAATTATTAACTTAATTTTAGTTATCATTATTATATTTAATTAGTTACAGGGCATGCATGCTTATCACAGACAGAGAGATAGAGATAGAGAGAGAGAGAGAATGAGAGAGAGAGAGAAAGTGAAAAAGTAAGCCACCAGGTACAGGACTCAAACCACGGTTTCCCATGTGGGAGTCCAGCACCTTAACCATCATGCCAGGTTTTTAAGGTTTTTAAGACATCAAACACAATTCAGAGTAAGAAATGGCCTTACCTTTTGCATCCATTTTAAATATACTCAACAGGGCATTGTTCACTAAGTTAAATTCTGCAGAATCATCTAGAAAGAGAAAAAGTGGCACAATGAAAATAAATTAAATAAAAAAAAAATCACCTGCTATATTTTTGAACTTATGATTCAACACAGTTTCTCAGAGTACATTGGCAGGAGGACTAGAACTAAGCAATTCTCCCATGTACCAAAAAGATATATCTTCCTTGAAGGTAGAGAACCTGATCAGCCACGCCTAAAATTCTTATGTTAAGAAAGCACAATTATGAGGACCAGCAGATGGTGTAATGGTTATGCTGCTGGACTCCTACATCCTGAACTGTCTACCATAGTTCAAGTCCTGGAGCCGGTGGCTTAAAACTCACACTGGGTGTATATGTGTGCATGCCCAAGATCCTGCAAAATGAACAGAATAGAAAGGATTGAGGCATGGCCATCTCTCAGGGGACAATTTCTCACTTTTTGTCTCTCCCTTTCTTTGTCTCTCCAATGAGTGCTTGTGCCCTATAGCAAAAAATCTCTTTAAAAAAAGGCAGTACAATTACGAGGTCAAGTGGAGGCATGCTGGTTAAAGCACTAGATTCCTACATGGCTGAACACAGTTTGAGTCCTGGACCTAGTGGCTTGAAAATCACACCAGGCATGTGTGTGTGTGCCCAAAATCCCAGAAGAACAGGGAAGGAATTAAGTCATGGCCAGCCTTGCTAGGGGGGTGGGGGTGGAGGTGGTAGGGGGTGATTTCTCCCTCTGTCTCTCTATGGCCAGCACACACACTCAATGGCAAAACTTTAAATAAATAATAAGATTATGAAACTATAGCAAATTGAAGGAAAAAATTATGATGCACTTGGGGCCAGTAGATGGTGCAGTGGTTAAGTCACTGGATTCCCACATGGCCAACTGCGGTTCAAGTCCTGGACCCAGTGGCTTGAAAATCACACTGGGCACATGCACGTGTATGCCCAAGATCCAAGGAGGAGAAGGAATTGCAGTGTGGCCATCCCCTCTCGAGTCTGATTTCTCACTTTCCCTTTCACTGTGTCTGTCTCTCTCTTTCTCCAGTGAGCACACGTGTCCTAAGGCAAAAACCTCTCAAACAAACAAACAAAATTATCATGCATTACAATTCCCCTAAAAGAACTGAGACATTATGCTTTCACAAACATAATTAAAAACAAAACATGAGGCCAGCAGGTGGAGTAGTGGTTAAGGCACTGGACTACCACTTGGCTGACCACAGTTTAAGTCCTGTACCCAATAGCTTGAAACTCAAGCTGAGTGCATGTGCATGCATGTCCAAAATCCCAAAAGGAGAATGGAAGAGAAGGGATTAGTATGGCTACCCCTTCCAGGGTGTGCTTTCTCACTTTCCCTCTCACTGTCTCTCTCTTACTCTTTCCAGCAAGTGCACATGCCCTATATCAAAAATCTTAAGAAAACAGGGACCAGCAGTTAGCATAATGGCTATGTCACTGGACTCCCACGTAGTCGACCGCGGTTTGCGTCCCGGACCCGGTGGCTTAAACTCACACTGGGCACGTGCCCATACACCAAGAGGAGAATGGAGGAGAAGGGATTGCAGCGTGGCCATCCTTCCTGGGGGGTGATTTCTCGCTTTCTGTCTCTATGTCTCTGTCTGGCGAGCACACGCGCCCTATAGCGAAAACCTCTCCAAAACAAAAAAAACCCACAAAAACTTAAGCAAACAAAAACCACTAGAAATTACATAATCAGAAACTGTTCATCTTTGTTTAATCTTTATCGGAGGTCCTGGGACTTTTCAAATTAACCCTCTCCAAAACACACACACACACACACGACTCACTATTTCAGAGAGAACCTGTATTTATTTATTTATGTATTTTAATTTTTTTGGAGAGGTTTTTGCTATAGAGTATGTGTACTCACCAGAAAGACAGAGACAGAGTGACAGAAAGCAAGAAATCACCCCCTAGAAGGGATGGCCACGATGCAATCCCTTCTTCTCCATTCTTTTCTCAGGATCTTGGGCACACACACACACACACGCCTGGGGTGAGTTTAAGCCACCAGGTCCAGAACTTGAACCACGGTCGACTACATGGGAGTCCAGCGACAGCCATTATGACAACTGCTGGTCCCTAGAGCTTGTATTTAGATTAAAAAAAAAAAAGTAATAGTAAAATTTCTTACCTGTCTGCAAAAGTTGGGTCAGTATATCTGCTACTCGGGGAAGATTTTCTCCAGTGGCAAACTGAGGCAGCTCTTTAATTGCTTGACGTCGAATCTGGTCATGATTTCAAAAAATACTGTCATCATCAAAATTAACAACAAGCTTAGCTTTTTAAGAAAACTAAAAGCAAAGAAGAACCAGTTGGAGGGCATATGAGTCACAAATATATAAAACATGAGATGTCTAACAGTTTTAAAAGTAATTTGTTCCAATGTAATATTCAAGTTTCACAGAAAAAAATAATGTAGAAAGAGACATTGGATACAATACCTGACTTAGAATACAAAGATGAGAGATGACAGACAAATGTTCACCTACTAACTATATACAACGGTTGGGTTTCTACTACCTTTGGGTATATAACAGAGGACTTCTAAGAATGGCTACTGTGGGGACCAGGAGTTAGCATAATGGCTATATTGCTGAACTCCCATGTAGTTGACCATGGTTTGAGTTCCAGAACTGGTGGCTTAAACTCACGCCGGGTGCGTGTGTGTGCGTGCCCAAGATCCTGAGAGGAGAATGGAGGAGAAGGGATTGCGGCCCATCCCTCCTGGGGGGTGATTTCTCACTTTCTGTCTCTCTCTTTCTGGTGAGTGCACGTGCCCTATAGCAAAAA